ATATATATATATATATATATATATTATTTTAATTTTGATTATTTTTTCAACGAATATTACAAGAGCTCAAGACGGGATTTCCAAAAAGATACTGTTGTTATAAATAAATCATAGTACACTAGAGATAAACTCTAAACCTTTAATTGTAACACTAAAATTATATTAATTTTTTTAGGGTTTAATGGGATGAATTTTGCGAGTGTGAAAATAATTTATTTATTTACACATCATGAAAGACTGTAATTTTTTATATGTTGTAGGACTACAAATGTTAATTGTAAAGTGGCCAGCATGCGTTACCAACTAAAACACCATTTGGTAGGCATCGCCATGGGTCGTTTGTTTTTTCAAGCCATGATTTTAAGTCGGTCTTTAACTCCTGCACAATTTCAGTTAATGTCGAATTATCTATCAAATTATTCTTTTCATGGGGATCACTGGTGACGTCATAGAGTTCCCACTCCGGTCGATAGTAGTAATTGTGTAGGGATTTGAACCAGTATGTTGGCTCGCCATTGTGGGTTCGATTCAACATGTCCTGAAAAGTCGGAGACATGAAGATATCTAGCGCGATCGGATAAGATGCCGCGTGGTTGATGTTGTGGATGAGCCTATATTGGCGATTTCGTACAACTCTCATCGGATAGTACATAGTTATCTCGTGGAGATCGTGGCTTGAGAATACCTGATCGAACTTTCCACCCGCTTTCGGCTCACTTTCCAATATTGGAAGTAGGGATTTTCCACTCAATTCAACAGTAGCCCCGTTCAAGCTATAAGATGGAAAGTCAACTTCAAACCATTCTAGGATGGTTGGAACGATGTCCGTCGTGCTGGCCAAAGCATCACTTGTCTGACCCCAACGTTCAGTATGGGAGGGGGAGGATATCATCATGGGCTCTCCCATTCCACATTCGTATAGATTTGTCTTCGCGTTAGGGAACGGGATACCATTGTCTGCAGTGTAAATAATCAACGTGTTTTTAAGGAACCCCAATGACGTCAATTCGTTCAAGAAAAGACCAACTCCTTGGTCCATTCTACTAACTGCTGTGTATTGTGCAGAAATTTCTTTTCTTGTGGCCATTGTATCCGGTAAAAAATACGGCACAAAGACATCTGCAGGGTCATAATAAGCTGGTTTCCAGTCCGGAATAATGCCTGTCTCAGGGTCACCATTTCCAAATCGTTCACAGAACTGACCATATTTTTCGATACTCGCATCGCACCTGTGTACATCTTTGAAAGCCATATACAGAAAAAACGGACGATCATCAATGCCTAGAAATTCTCTCATCAATTCTTTCATGTGAGTGATGTTCCTAGCAACCTGTAGCATACTGTAATGTTCATCTGTTCTCTCGTAATCGAATTTATATACGGAATCAGGCCCAATGTGCTTCTTCCCGATAATGCCCGTTCGGATGCCATGGTCTTTTAGTATCAATGGGATGCTTTTAACCTCGTCAAAAGAGTTAAAGTGATGAAAGGAATGGTGCAGGCCATACATACCATTCTGGTGTTGCGGGAGTCCGGTGAGCAAGGCTGATCGGCTCGGCGAACAGCTGCTCACTGAAGTGTAGGCCCGACGTAACACAACGCTGCGCTTAGCTAATGCTGCTAAGTTTGGTGTTTTACATACAGAATTATTGTAAACTTGGCTTTCAAATCCGCCATCATCAACAAATATCAATAAGACATTCTTCTTAGAATCGAGTCGTGATTTGTTGTTTCTGTGACTGTGGCTATAACCTAAATAGATTAACAAGAGCAACATCACCTGCGATCTAGGTACCATGTTGAAAGTCACAATTCAAATAACATTTACCAAAGATGGTATAGCGCCGCTACACGATCTTTGACAATACAGGGCCTGGATTAAGAGACTACTTGTCTTTAGAATAGGTTAGTTCTTAACCTTATATTAATGTTAAACTTATTCCAGAGTCTATGGTTATGGTGATTTCCTTCACTTTTGGCTCTTAGGTTTAATCAGGGAGGTGCTAAATCAACTGATCGAAATTAGGAAATCTCCATATACGTCTAATTTTTATTAGGCCTAAATTTTTGTATTCATAAAATGAATTTTAAAATTGTTAGTCGTTATCGTTATTCGAGTCCTTTTTAGTACCACTATGTTATTCTTTTTATTGATATTGTTGTTCCCATATTATTGTCATTATTATTGTTATTAATACTAAATAGCATTGTTATCCTCCACGGCCCAGCAAAACATACTATAAAGTGCAATCAACCAGAAGAAGAGATAGACAATTTTTTAAAAAATGTAACAACTTTTATACTCTCAATTAAAAATTATTATCATTATCATTATCATTACTAATAATAATAACACACCAAAAACATTACCAATATTTTCTTATTGTTATTTCAATAATAATAATAATAAATAATGAATAGGCCTAATAATAATAATACTGATAATAATAATAATAATAAATAATTAATAATAATAATTAATAAAAATAAATATAAATAAAATAATAATAATAATACTGATAATAATAATAATAATAATAATAATAATAATAATAATAATAATAATAATAATAATAATAATAATAATAATAATAATATTAATAATAAAACAGAATATAATTATTACCAATAACAACTAGACTTGCTGTGTAGGCTAAAACAGAACATAAAAAATGATGTTGCGATGTTAAACCAAATAACAATAATAATAATAATAATAATAATAATAATAATAATAATAATAATAATAATAATAATAATAATAATAATAATAATAATAATAATAATAATAATAATAAAAATCCGTGAAATACAACTTTAAGCTACTAAGACTCGAAACCGGGCTGAAATGTTAGGATTCAGACTGGTCAAAAATGGGGAGAATAGATTAGCGCAGTGTAGCAGCTTAGTGATTTCCTTCCGTTTCCACAGTCCTGCTTTAACTCTGTAAAATGTATGTTTTTTTTTGTGAATAAAATAATATATAATAATAATAATAATAATAATAATAAAAATAATAATAATAATGATAATAATAATGAAATAAAATCTTAAACTTCAAGCCTCCCATGGGAGTAATGCAATTACAATACGGATAATGGTAAAAAATAAACAAAAATTAAAATGGCTTATAATCAATTGATCTGGTTCACTCTTCATCATAAATTAAATGAAGAAAATAACGATAAGATAATACGTCACTACTCAGCACCACTCAAAAAAGAGATAACAATAAAAATCTATTACTCAGCACCAGTCAAATAAAGAAATAACGATAAATAATTAGTTTACTAGTACTTAGCACCACTCAAATAAAGAAATATCGATAAAGTCTACAACCCAGAACTACTCAAAAAAAGCAAATAACGGTGAAACAATAATTGTACTACTTAGCATTTCTCAAAAAAAGAAATAACGATAACACAATAAGTTCGATAAGCACTCAAATAATGAAAACTGTGGAGTAATAATAATAATAATAATAATAATAATAATAATAATAATAATAATAATAATAATAATGACGATAATGAAGATGGCAATTATGACAGCGGTGATTAGGCCTATATTAATAATAATGGTGATGATGACTATGATAATAATGATTATGATAATCATGACAATGATAATGCCAAAAAGGTTTTCTCAAATGAAAACTATGGCGTAATAATAATAATAATAATAATAATAATAATAATAATATAATAAGAATAATAATAATAATAATGACAATAATAATAAAAATAATAATAATAACAATAATAATAATAATAATAATAATAATAATAATAAGTCATTAAATAAATAAGATTTAATTAATATTATATTAGCGCAGGCGCCTCACGCCTATCTGTACAGGCGGAGTAATATGGTTCAGGTCAGAGGTCATGCCTTTCGGTTAGAGAGTGTATCCTAGCTACAAGACGCTCTCTGACAATTAATATGGCGCCAGTTCAGACAAGAGGTGAGTCTCTCTGAACTTTTGGTTAATAATAATAATGATAATAATAATAATAATAATAATAATAATAATAATAATAATAATAATAATAATAATAATAATAATAATAATAATAATAATAATAATAATAATAATAATCGAATTGAAGCTTCTTTTCTAGATATTACAGTCACATACACGTTATCAATTTCAGAAAACAAATAAAATAAATACAAGCTTGGTTTACACAGTAGTTTAGGTGATTTAATGCCAGTTAAATACACTCCATGATATATCAGATTGATGTTACAGTGGCCTTTTATTGTTTTATAAATACAAATTCACAAAATTTACAGCATTCATTTTGAAAAGAAGCCCCCCTCTTTACTTTGCAAAAGTATGTCTCGAAAAGAAACCCATCTTGAAAAGAAGCCATCTCGAAAAAAGGCCCATCCAAAGTTCGCAAAGAAAAAAAAGAAAACCAGGCCCGGGATTTATCAATCTCAGCTTAGCAAATGTCTTAAGTCAAAAAAGTTAAGATGTCCCTAAGCAAATCCTAAGCTGATTTATTAAACAATTTTTAATAGAAAAATCACAGCTTAAAATCGTCTTAGCTGGCGCATGCGTACAATCGACTTTTCAATATTAAGCAATGTTTAAGCTTAGCATTACTGATAAATCTGACTTAAGCAAAAACAATGGACTTTTAAAAGACGAATTTATGCTGATTTCTAGTTTGATAAATCCGGACCCGGGCTTAAATTCGAGGGTTTACGGTACCGTATTGCAGCTAGTAATCAGCGCAGTTGTGTGACAACCAGTAACGAGCCCGGGAGACATTGTGTTGTGTGAGTGTAAGTAACAAAAATGGCAGAGGGAACTGAATTTCAGTAAATTCTTTATATTTAAGATTGAAAATACTGCATTATAGGCAATTTCAATACGATTCAAAATTTGAATATTACCGACCAGGAATGATATTGTTTTATTGGTCGTTTTAGGTGTATTTTTCTAATCCGAGTGTCAAGGCACTGTAGTAAAATGCTGAGTGTTAGGATCAAAAGTTCGATTCCATCCCCGAAAGCCCATAGGCGTTACGTCACTAAAAACAAAATAACGATAAAACAATAACTTCGTTCCGCATCACTAATCAAATAAAGAAAACAACGATAATACAATAAGTTACTCAGCACCTCAAATAAAAATTACCTTTAAAACAATAAGCTATTCACTATATTCACCACTACTTAAATATAGAAAATAATGATAAAACAATAAGTTTCACTACTAAGCAGTACTCAAATAAAGAAAATAGCGATAACACAATAAGTTCGTTCCTCAGCACAACTCAAATAACGAAAATAACCACAAAACAATAAGTTATAAGAAAAATAACGATAAAATAATTTATAAGAAAATAACGATAAGTTTACTACAGACTGGGAACTATTCAGAAAGATAAAGTTGACTTCATAGAATTACTTAAAGAATAAAAATAAAATTAATTAATGTAAGTTAACTACTTTGCAAGAGAGAAGAAAACAGTAAGTTGATTACTCAGTACTTCTTTAAAAATATTTTTTTAATTAATAAATTCACACTCACAAACAAATTGTTTAAAACAATTAAATTTCAGTTCACATTAGAAGATATGTTACATAAAAAACACCATAAATA